ACAAACATGTTTTCTTGCAGTTTTTCAACATATATGAATAGTGAGAACTACTGGAGTAGCAATACCCTTTTTTCGACCAGTAATCACACCAAGAACTCAGATCTTGATGYTGACAGCCTTTGAAATGAAACACAAACAGCGTCAGAAAAGTAAGCAAGCATGTTTGGCATGTTCCCTATGGATGATTTACCACAGGCAGGCCACAACTAGGAAAAGCGTAACACTTGAACATTTTAGCTTCTGAACAMTTTTCAATTTAAGCAATTCACCCCAGCTTTTCCTTTCTTAGACTTACTAGGCTATTAGTTCAATAGTTTAAATGAGATGACTTAATATTTGTTATCCAGAAATCAATGTTCCCCGTCTAACCTGTAGGTGGGCGTGTAGCTGGTCGAGGAGGACTGGTAGGCGGTATTGATCCACAATAGAGTAACCTGGCTTGTTTGATATCAGCGGGGCTCAGTCCTCTTCTATTACCCAACCGCTTATCACCATTGATTCGAGTGATAGTCGTGCGACCTCGACCAAAAGCTGTGGAGCCGTAATGCATAACACTGTCATAGTCGTAAGGAACACCCAGGCTGTTGATGCGACCACCAGAATACTTCTCGAAGGCGAATCTAAACTCTGGAATCGAGAGAAATCACAAGAGAAATCATGTTTAATTTTTCTTGTCATCTTCATCATCAGTTTCAAAGTCATCATCAACACCATTAAAATCACGTATGGAAGACATCATCGTCATGCATCATGTATCATGTACCATAGCCATCATCATCACTACATTGTACAATTAATGACACATTATATCTTTGTACTCACGTGGTGTAATGTTGTTCCAATAAATCTTGACGTAACGATCTCTGTCTGGCCTGGACTGCTCATGCCAGAATCCAAGAGCGTGTCCTGTGAGTAAAGAAGAGAGCAACATGAGATTCCAATAATACTTAGGATTATTATATATATGTTATTAACTGACCAGGAGGTTCGGATCGGGAAAAAAACTGTGCTCCGATCTCTAACCGCCTGGAAAACATTGCCGAAAAGCAGGGATACCTTACCTAAGGGGGTAGGGGGAGGGAGAGGGGGWAGGGAGAGGGACGGAGACGGGAGAGGACAACTCCCCCTCCGGTTCGTCCCTCACCCTCCATCCCCTTCCCTAATCCCCTAGGGCGCCGCTACGCAGGCTAATCTTCCTCTCACACTTTAAACAATGGCAAAGAACGTTGGTTACGTTGGTTATGAAAGGATTAAAGATGAGAGTGGCGATGGGATAAAAACAAACTGAAGGCAAACCAAACAACGAGTGAAAGGAAGACCCGAGTAATCAGTATGAGCTGCCTTGGAACCATAGGTATCTCTGCTGATTCCTCGTGTTAGATGTGATTTGGTATCCATAATAGCTTTATAGTGGGAAAGACCACTGAAAATAATGGACTGGCYCCCTTTATAGGAAATTGTGTATACGGCCCTATCCCTCTAGATGGTCGTGTACKTGTARGTTAATTGTATTTGCTGACCCCATTGTTGTAATTCTCAGCATATACAAAATATGAAAATATACATGATAGCTTTATAGTGGGGAAGACCACTGAAAATAAAGGATTGGCTCCCCTTATAAGAACTGAGGTATACGGCCCTATCCCTCTAGATGGTCGTGTACTTGTAGGTTAATTGTATTTGCTGAACCMATCGTTATGAAAGTATACTAGTTTTCAATCATATTTGAAGCATAAAGAGACGCTTGGTTTAGATTCAGACTACGTACCAATCTCGTGGACAACAATTGCCAAACGATCGCATCTCGGACCAATGGATATTCTCTGGCGTCCACCTACCCTTCCGACATTAGAATAACACCTAYACAACGCAACAAGCAATGTTACAGGCTGACCACTTAGTAGGGTTTAAATAATAATAATAATAATAAAGTTGTCATCGTTGATCACCACCGAAAGTGTACAGCAGTGGCGCAGCGGGGTGGAACTGAAAGCATGTGAAGGTGCCTCTAGCAGCTGCTATACAGTCCATGTATRACCCCGGAGCACAGCTCTAACCAGTTGGAATTATACAATACAGTTTGAATTAGTTAGGGTAGGATTTGACTTTCTTCGTTTTATCATTATTGCGTTACCACAAGGACTTGTTTACACTAGCGTCGGAACCGAGTGCCAAGTCAGAAAATTTATCCAATAACAGACCTTACAAGGGCGGATCCAGCCAAAATTTTAGGGGGGGGGGGGCAATTGAGTTTAGGGGGGGCTAACTGAGTTTCTTCCGTCAACACAAAACAAAACAATAAAAAAAGCATCTAATTCTTCAGTTTTGTTTTGTTTTTTTCTTTCTGCTGAAGGGGGGGCTTCAGCCACCCTTTGCCCCCCCCCCCCCTGGATCCGCCCTTGTCTTATGTCTGGCCCATCAGTAACCAAAGCTTGTATATTTTTTTAATCCCCTATGTAAGTTATCAAATCGACGTAACGCTCGTGTGAATCGTAATCCCCAGCTAAAAATGCTGACTTTAGGTACATACCCCCCTCCGGAAAAGAAGCTGAGATAYGAGCTTTGGTGTGTTCTTCTTACGAATTGAAGGCACGGTACGTGTTGTGTCCAGTGTCGTATGGCGCTCTTTATTACCGCTCGAGCGTGATCTGCATTCAAACATGTTATATTAATGTCATTTCATTCTCATGGTAATCTACCAAAAATGAAATCAAGGGAGAAAAAAAGTAAATCAAGGGAGACTTAGGTGTATCTACTACGGTGTGTGTGACCCACGCCCGTCAAATTAGAAGCTTAGTATTTTAAAACTGAGCATTAAAATGTACATGTCTGGGGTAGGGGAGGGAGGGAAGGAGGGAGGATGAATTGATGGCTGAGAGGGAGGTATGGGGRAGGGAGAGATCAATGGATGCATGGAGGGATCGAGAGAGGGATAGATTGATGATTTGTTTAGGTTAGTGGTGATTGATGTTCTATATTCATTGGGAATTATGTAAGATCATGCACGGAGCTTCCTGTTGTTCAGTGTACTTACAATTACTTGGTTCAATGRCGTAAGGGATCAGTGGGCGTCCATTCGCGTCCATCCATAGTCTCGATTTATTAGACATGGCAGCTCTTTTTGGTCTCTTGTTTTTCTTGGGTTTTTGTGTATWTTGAGCATAAGGATACAAACCCTTGCTTCTTAGCTCAGACCTGATGTCATCTGTCATAATAATATCTCCCTGGAACAGCTCAACACCATCTGACAGGACAAAATACATTATTGTAAACATTTGTCTCTTTATAGCGGTTGCTTTCTGATTGGTTAAGCAAAAGATATCGCGTYTTGTAATTGGTTAAAAGCACGGCGTTAACTAATCCCGCGAATACCCCGATTAGATGTCGTCTCTTCTGCGATTTCTTCTGCTCTACCGTTGACGGCTTGGTTGTTATTTGGCTCCTACTAACCATAAGTCTGTCACGGCCAATGCGATAAGTCGAGGTTTTGAGGCTATTGTTAGTCTCCTCCGCAGCCGTGAGGATCTGGGACTGAAACTAATGACGGCTGCAGAGGATGGCTGTTGTCTTTTCAGAGCAGATTGCTCTCACTGGCAAATGGCTTTGATAATGCATTATTTTGGACTATTAAGATATATGTATAATAATTATCTCACCTCTTCTGTACGTTTGTCTGCTGTTGGCTTCAAGGATCATACTAAAGGCATTTTCTGTGTCATTTACATCTGGAATAAAAATAGATAGATACATAGTTTTAAAAACCTACTTCCAGTCAGCTGATGGAAAGACAGACCGTCGCTGTACTTCCGGTCGGTAGTCACGTATTGTGTCACGTAATAACGTGTTTCTATCCTGTTTTTCTATASTCATATTAAACTTTTTTGATTGGCTTTTTAATAAACTTTCTGAAGTTAGATTGATTTGAATTTCACACTAGCCATTAGTCTAAGATTGTAGTTTATGTACATTTAGTGGAATCGATGTTTTTATGGCAACGATGAACAAGAAACATTGAAATCAGTTGGAATTGTTTGCAATTCCRATGAGATCCAGAAAAGCGAGATCCTATCTCTCACAAAGTATAGTGTATAGAGAACAGACATGACCCTGAACTCACCACTATATCTAGATCTATATATCTAGCTGCTCTGGAGCTAGTCAGTGTGCTCGAGAGGTGAAAGAGAGGTGAAAGAGAGGTGAACGTGTGCTATGATAAAGTATAGTAAGAGAATTTACTGAAGTATTTTTTTACCTTTCGTGGCTCCTTGGACGAGAACCCCAAAGACAAGGGATTGAAACACGATAAATATGATCATCATCAGGGCCGAATCAATTGTTGGCCTAGTTAGTTTACTATGCACTGCTAACGGTAAGTCACCTCATGTGAGTTTTATATACGAGATACAGGAACTCCAACACAGCGGGAGTTTCCAAGGCGTGGATGCGTTATGACGGATGTAGCAGCGATATTTGATACATACTTGAAACCCGTGTATAGGGGCACGGAGAGCAGAGCAGATCATCCACGTATGGGAAAAGATTATCCTACGTAAAGCGGGATTAACTTGAAAATGATGCTCATCCGATAGAAGTAGTCCTGTCTTGAGGGGAAGGGAACTACAAATCGGGATTGGCAAAGGCGTTAAAACCATTGAAAACTTAATAGATCACCAAAACAAGTTTWTAAATTTTTCTGATTTATAGAAAAATACAATATTAATACTAATTTCGTAACATATAKGGGTATTGTTRATGCAGTTAAAAACAGRRTAAACCAAATTGATCCAACATTGTGAATGATTTGGACCTGGAAAATTGATAGTCTTTTTTCTTTTAGTATGAGGTTATTCTACCAGATGTTAASTATGCCCCTAAAGAAAGTAGGTATTAAAGATGCTGACTTCTCAGTGCTCTTTCTGTATAGATAAGAAATTGACATACTTGCAAGCACTTCTTCTATCTTTGTGCTCATGCACAGGTTGGTGGTCGTTACATGTTGATAATAAGTCATCACTAAAACTTGACCTTGGAACAATCTTATAACTTTATTTGTCGAACTTCAAATCCTCTATTCTTTAAAACCATCTAATCCTAATTGCAAAGCAACACATATATTATAGTTTCATAAAATATGAACAAAAATACACATTTTGATCATTTCTTAACCACGCAACCAACAAATACTACCTCGAAAAAAAAGGCAGCATCATCGACTACCAGTCATACGTTTTCGAAAAAAATGGGCATCTATCACCATTTTCTTGAGCAAAACTGCATAATTTTCAACTTACAACCTTCACTTACTTCAACCTGTAATT